GCAAACTTCCCTTTGATGCACTAGACTGAATTTCACAGAGCATATGTAACAAGGCTGAAGGGGATGTTAGAGAATTGGTAGGATCATTGGTAGGTTCATCCGTAAGGCTGGGACATGAAAGTCTTCCCTCGTATTTTGGCAGCAGGTGTAGCCATGGGAGGATGGCTCTAAGTGGCCACAGTGGTGATTCCATGTGGAGCACCCAGCACTGTGGAGCACCCAGTGCTGACTCTTCCAGTACTTGCACTCTATTTCTACAGCAGAGTTGTCAGCTGGGGTCCTCGTTCAATGTGCACACTTGTCCCTGCCATTGGAAACATGTCACCTGCTGCAAACTTGGACTCCACATTCACAAGGGACCACGTGTATTTCTGGGATAGAGAGAGTGGGTAGATCTTTGTTCATTTGACGAACTTTGACAGAACTACCCAAGTGAGGTGTGGCTCAGTGCTTATGAAGCTTCTGAGGCAGAGCATCTGGCTCCGAGGCCTTGCAAACTTTATAGCATGGGAAGGGACTGAAGGGGGCAATCCCCGTTAATGTGAACCTATCTGCACAAAGCATTAATAACTGCTGTAGCCTGAATCCCAGGACATTCATGAATTCCACTTAGCAGCTACTCACACAGCATTAAACAGTTTTATTAGCAGGTTGCTATCAAAACAGAGGGGTAGGACTTGGTAGCTGGGCCACCTTCTGCCCAGACTCTCTGGAATCAGAGAGTACGGAGGATGCTCTCAGCTTAATACAACTTTTTTGGAAAGGAGCAGCAGTAAACACTGTGAAGATGAGCAATGAAGGATTCACACTGTAGGGTAAATGCCTGCCATTAAGAGCTCCTGTGCTGAGTTCCAGTTCCATTCCATCCGTCCTGTTCTCCTTCTCCAAGCTTTCCCTTCAGCTCAGCTTTTCTCCATCTGAGTAGCTCCAATCTGTCCAGGATATGGTCCTATTTTTAGCTGTCATGCATGAGAAGCATGAGATTCTAGGTACTGGGATATTAGAGATTTGTTGTATCAGATCTCATTGAAATACAGCTGCCTCTAGAGTTTCTAATTCAGATCAACTTCATGTCTTTAATTGCATGGGGCACTTGTGAAGTTCATAAAATCAGTGTTCAGGTAAATGTACCCTTATGGGGCAGATTTGGTAGAATCACGTTTTTTTAGTTCAAGTTAAGTACTGTTCACTCATTTATAGCCTCACATATTTCCTTGGATATCATAATTTTCTTGGAAGGGAATGTCTGCTAGTGCTAATGTGCTTGGAAAGCTCATAAAAACTGGAGGTAGAGGCAGCCTGTGTATCTTGCATTTGCTAACAGTTCACTCTGGGTTTCTCTAATGTGGCCGATTTACAGGGGTCACATTTCCACCTGGATGGGTTTGTCCATGAATAATTCTCCTCTGTCTTGTGTACAAGTATGATTTTCCTACAACACCCATATATTTCTCTGCCTCAATTCCCCCCCGTCTCTCTGGTACTTTTCTTCACACAACACTGTGGCCAAGGTAACAGAAAGAAAATCTTTTAATGAACATGTATGTTATTTCCTGAGCCTTGTATGTCTTTTCTTGGGGGCAGGGCTCAAGCAGGATTTTAGCTAGTGGTGATGATGGTGCAGTTTAAGATTGCTTTGGTGCAATAATACACCTCATCTTTTCATTGTTCAGACCAACATGGGTTGGAACTGGCCAAGCAGATGTCAAAACCCTGACAGCATTGGTGTTATGAGAGGCAGCACTCAGTAGGTGCCCTATAGCCTGGTCAATGTCACAGTGCACCTGCTGTGTGCTGTGGAGTGGCAGGACCCGGGGTGGCTTGGGCAGCAGCAGCAGCCACCTGGCTGGCCTGGCCCCACACCAGCCCATGTGGGAAATTCTGCATCCCTGGACAAGCAGTGAGGGAGACCTGGTGGTTATCTCATTGGGATTCTCTGCACAGAGGCAGGTTAAGCGTCAGGCAGAGGCAGTCCTGGGAATTCTGCACAGGCTGCAATGACATCCTGTCCCCAGCCTTGATCACTTCCCCAGTTTTCAAGGATCTCTCAAAATCCAGACAGAAATCAATTAACAAAGTCCTGGTCTGCCAGAAAGAAACTGTCGGTTAAACTCTAAACATTCTTTTGGGAAAACCTATTTTTCCTGTTTCCCATTTAGGTTTACTTGTTTTTACCCTTTGAGATTAATCACCATAAGACACTCACTGCCTGTGTCACACCAGAGGTCTCTTTACAGGCAAGGTGCCTCAGGCTGCCTGTACATTGCTACTGTACTCTGCATGCTCCCTCCTTGTCATTTGTGCTACAGCAAGAGGAAGCAAGGCTTGTAAAACCCTGCTCTCTCCCAGTCACTCCTGCCAGTTCACATCTTCAGTGCTAAAATTCCCATCCATTTTTCTGGCAGAGCAGGTTAAGGAAAGGTATGGAAACATTGGCACCAGGGAAGAACTGAAGCTAACAAAAACATGCTGGCTGTATGTTTGCATATATGAACATATTTTTGCTTCAAAGAGAAGCAGCTTCTCCAGTCTTGGTCACCAAATGGCCAGACTTTAATCTATTTGTCCCTTCAAGTAGGTAAGAGTCAGTATTTAATGACGAATGTAGCAAATGTGCTCAAGGTAGTAGATAAAAGAACACCTCTAGATAAAAGTAGTAGATAAAAGAACACGTGCGAGTATTTAGGAAACCTTATGTAACATTTCCTTCGCAAAATAAACATATACATACAGCCCTGTTTCCAAAACGTCACTGAGAATATCATCACTTGCAAATGTTTTTGGAAAAGAGGCTGCCAAATCGCTAAATATATTCTGGGTTTTGAATAGACATTTCATGCTGTTTCTTTTCTATCCTAATGAATCTTTTCTTAGCCCTCTCACAGAAACTTGTAGACCTGTCGGGATAGCACCCCACCGGCTTGGGTGCTTGCAGCAGTAATTGGACTTGCCTCCCGATTTTATAGAGCTGGGTGCTGTGCCAGGGGAAGCCTATGATGCTGCTTGCTTTCCACTTGCTGCAAACCCCTCGAGGGACTTGGACAGTGGTGGAAGGAGGGGAAGGAAGAGAAACAGGGACACAACCAAGGGGATGGGAGGAGCTGTGAGAGCACCGGGACGAGGTCTGCACCACATCTAGGGATGGGCGCCCGGAGCTGGCCTGATGCCTGGCCTGTGCCAAGGCCCAGAGGTGCAAAAATCAGCTGACATAGTGGTTTTTCAGTCATGCTTTAAAAATTCAGAAGGCTTTTTTATATGTTGTTTTGCCTCAGTGATGAATGCCCATCTGTCTGTAAATAAGGGCAGATACCAAGAATGTATCATTTCAAGGTTTTACACTTCAGCTGAAAGACTTTACAAATGCAACAAAGAGGAAATAGTGAAATTCATGACATGTTAACATACACAGTGCATATAAACCTCTACCCTAACCATCCACTGTTCTTTCCCAAGGATATTAGGGGTAGACTGCTGGGTTTTCTGAAATCAGACACACAGGAGGTATCTCCTGGTGGTCAGAGATATCTATGACTTTTTAATTGGTCAGCCAGAGTAAGAAGGAAAAGCCGAATCAGATCCACAAAACCCCTCTGAGGAAGCAGAATTAGTCACACTGCATCCCTGCCTTTAATATTTCATCTTTCCTTTACTTACATGATTTCATTGATTTCCAGATATGAGGGTGCAAACAGAGGGCAGATGCCCACATCAATCTCAACAAAGAGATCACTGAAGCACTATCACATGGACATGCTGAGCCTAAATAACCTGTCCAGGGTGGCTACATAACATGGAACCAAATTCATTGTTTACTGCTGTTTCAGTACTATGTGGCAAGAACCACTGCCACCAAGTTATAGAAGCAGCACATCGGTTTCTGCCTCCAGGAGGAGAACCAGCCTGGGTTCTCCAGATGAAAAGTAACCTTGTTAAAGCTGAAACAATTTCCACTCCAATTCACCACAGAGATGTAAAAACTCTTCTCACAGAAGAAAAAAGGTAGTTATGAAAAGCTGCACATGAGATGACAGGATCTCTTTTTTCTGCTTTTTTTTTTGTGATCAACGTGGGAGAAAATGCATGTAGAGTCTGTAACAGCTGGAAAGGCTGGAGATAAAACTTTCCCTCACAAAGTGTAGAAAGACAGGGTTAGAAAGAACCTCCTGGGTGACCACGAGTAGCCCTTGCTGTTGAAGACATCATACTTAATGGGGATATCCGAACATGACAGCTGCATCAAACCACCACCATTCAGGCACTTACACCTCCTGCTCCTGCCTGGCAGTGATCCTCCACAACCTCCACCTCTTAGGATCAGTACGATCAGGATGCTTTCTCTCCTTCTCCAGCTCAGATTTATTTATAGCCTACTTGCACCCATTTGTTCTTGAGCCAGCGCCGTACATTAGTGTAATTAGTGGTTCCTCCTTGTTGTTCGTGGCTTTCTGGAGCACGACGGCATCCCCTGTGCTGCCATGGGACACCCACACGCACATCCGCACCAACCCGCTGCCTGCCCTCAGGTGGGGACCCTCCCGCGGGAGGGCTCTGGGGAGACCGATGCCTCGTGGTGAACTGCGGGGAGGGGACGATAGCTCTGGGACAGTGCAACACCCTCCCTACCCCGGGACCCTTCAACAGCTCCCCAGTGTCCTGACCCTGCACCACCCCATTCCCGGGATCCCGTAGCTCCCCCGGATGCCCTCGCGCCTCCCGCCTCTGCAGCGAGCGCGCGCAGACGCGGCACTAGCGCGCGCCCACCACTCCGACGCCGTCTGCTCGCGCACCCCCAGCCCACCGGTCGCGCATGCGTATTACCCCCCCACCCGCCGCCTCCAGGCCCCGCCTTGTGCAGAGCGGGGCCCGAGACGGGGGGCGTGGCCTGTGAGGGCGTGTCCCAAGGGGCGTGTCCAACAGGGGGCGTGTCCCACTAGCGGGGGCGTGTCCCACCGCGGCGCGCCCTGTCCATGGTGCGGGTGTCCCCGCGGCGGGAGCGCGGCGGCGCCGGGCTGCATGGACGTGATGTCCCCGCAACAGGAGCACCTCGGCCCGGGCCGCTCGTCCTCGGTGAGCGGCGAGGGCAGGGGCTTCGCTGCCGCCGCCGACAGCAAGAAGGTGAGGCCGTCCCTGGAGACCACCCGGGAAAGAGCTGCCCGGCCCTCGCCACGGCCCGCGAGCCCCCCGCGGGGGGCACCGCGGCCCCATCGGGCGCTCCATCGCCGCAGCATCGCCCCCGGGTCCTGCACGCCGCCGGCGGGACCGGGACTGCCGGGGGAGCAGCCGGGGAAGCGGGGGCTGTCGGCGGGAAGGGCTTGTGCACGGGTGCCCCGGGGAATTGGAGGTGCGGCGCTGCCCAGTGGGGCTCGCGGGCTCTCCCGGGTCGATAACCTCCAGGACCTCAGCGGGGTTGCTGCATGCATATCCCGGCGGCAAGGGGAGGCTGGTGCCTGGGTGTCCGGGGTAGGTGAGGAGCGCCGCTTCACAGCTGTCCCGGGGAGCTCGGGAAGGGTTTGCTGGATGGTGTTCGGTGGAGCCAGGGGTCTTTGCTGCATGAATTTCCCGGTGATCGGGCGCGGGGGATGTTGCTGCATGGATGTGCTGGGGCGACAAGAGTGTTTGCTGCATGGATGTCCTGGGGAGACCTAAAGGGAGCTTTGCTGTGTGGATGTCTGGAGGTTTTGCTGGGGAAAGCAAAGGTTTTGCAGAATGGTTATCCAGGGGATCTAAGAGGTATATGCTGCGTGTGTGTCTGGGGAGGGCGAGGGGAGGGTTTGCTAGAGATGAGGATGTTTGCTGGCTGCTCTCACACGTGCTTTGTGCAAGAGACATATAGGAGGCTTCCTGAAGAAGCGCCTTGCGCTAAATATATCACAATTGATGGCAGAAGAGCTTCATCCCATCTTCAAAACTGCTTGTAAAATCTGTTTGATGTCTCAAATCGGTTTTCAGCATCTGACACGATCGAGTGCAGAATGCTCCCTTCTGCGTACAGCCAAGCACTTGTTTCTGCCTTATATTTAAATGAAATGAGCAAGCTGTAATAACCACATTCTTCTCACTGTATAAAACATGAATTCTTTTTTTCTCCTTGGTTTAGCAAGTGCTGTAGTGTTTTTCTATCCAAAGAAGAGCTGGTGCTTTCCTGCCTTACCAATTTTGCCTCACAATGGCATTTAAATCTATGCACTGCCTTGTCTTTAGAGGTGCACTTCAGAGGACTGCCAAATAGGCTGGCAGGATTAGAATGACTGGCCAGGCTACGGTGTCCTTTACCAATCTGTCCACCTGGTGAATTTAGGATGCATGGTATTAGAGGCTGAGATTGTGTTCAATCCTGTGGCTAAGCAGTCATTGGGACTTTGCTGGCTATGGCACAATGGTGCAGAAATGAATCCTGATCCCTCTCCTGCTGATGTGCCTCTTAGGGCTGGGAAGTGATGCTCTATTTCCATGGGTTATGTCCATGTGTGCTGTGTCCCACCAAGCCACATAGCTCTACAGCCTGACTGCAGCCCTGGGGACCTCTTCTTATGACAGCTGCTGTCAGTGGTGAGATGGTTGCCTGGAGAGAGTTTGGCCAAGACTTCTACTACACTGCAGTTAATACCTGATTGGTTTCTGAAGTGGGTGTGTGATACACCTACACAGAGTGGTGGAGTACCTTCTGCTGCCCAGCTGGGCAAAATGATGCAGTAGATACTCACCCTCTCCGAGTACTGTGGTCTAATTTGAGATGGCTAAATGTGTGGCTTTGATTTTTATCAACCATTTCTTTCATTTTTGCTGAAGACAGAGTACCATGTGCCTTCCAACCTGGCAGAGCCCTGATGCCAGGCACCCACCTGAAATGAGAAGTTATGTTCAAGTACTGTGAAGATGAACACTTTTTTCTTACAAGTTCTACTTCATAATTCAGCATTCTGAGGACAAATATTAATGGTAGCACTTGTGTTTCCCATTCCTGCTCCAAAGAGCCCACAGTCAAAGGAATGCAGACCTTGTTTTTGCCAGCGCTGACAAGAGAATGGGGATATTACTTTTTACGGATCTTGGCAGCCCTTTTGGAATTCCTCAGCTTGGAGGCACATGCAACAGGGGTACAGATGGAGATCCTCCTGTGGAGAAGCAGCTTGAGACCCTGGCTGGGCCATGCAGCATATGGCAGCTTTGCACATCATGCACAACCGACACAGGCAGCCACCAACATCCAGCCAACTGCTCAGCTGCTTGTCCACGGTGCTCCCTTGAGACTACTAGCACACCACCTCTTCGTGCCTCTCTGTGGAAGAAGATTCCTACCTTTATGCATGTACAGCAGTGGGCTATTCCTAATTTTGCCTGAAGCTGGATCTCAGTGACAGTTCAAATATTTATTTTACTACTTGGGTCCCATGGACTCTATGTATCCCTCTGTTTTGTCTTCCACTCAGTGCCAAAGCATCAAGTTTTTTTTACAATACAGGAAGTCTTTCTTGCCACCAGGGAGCTTACATTGTTTGTATTGGTTGCATACAGTTAAATGGAAGAACGTGATGGCAGGAAATCAGTTTTGATACTTGTGACACAGCAATTTGTTTGCAAATATGTATTTAACATCAATTATTTTACTTTCTGGCAAAAAATATCTGCAAATATGTGACACTAAGCGACCACTGAACCTTTCTGCCTTTTTATTCTCCTGACTATACCTTTCTCAAATTAGCTGAGATTTGCTACATTGTTCTGTGGTATTTGAACTCCTACTTCATCTGCTGCTTGGCTGTCAAAATGAAGCTGAAAGATCACATGCTTGATCACATCATAGAACCAGAAGAGAGATAGAAAATGTCTAGGGTTTTTTTCATGTATTTTGTATGACTATTTAAACTAATTTCCTGGAACCATTTCTTTTCCTTTTCTTGGCATGCGAAATGGTTTGCACTGCTAACCTACCTCACAGGCAGTGGGAGGTTCTCTCTGTTAAATGCTTACAATGCACTCAAGGCACCCTGCTAAAAGGTGACATTGAAGTGCAGTGTTTTAGTTAATGCTTTTGGAAAATTCTGGACTAGATTCCCTCCTTTACTGAACTTACTGGAGTCACTGGACTATGTGTGGTTGACCTGCAGAGAAGTTTTGTATTGACTGTTTACCTTAGTAACCATCATCATCATCATCATGGCTGGGCTTCGTGAATGAAGATTTAGGAAGGCTCTATCCACATTTGTTACAAGCACGCTGGTGGCTAATGAGGCCAGTATGAGATAGACATGTCTGATTGCAAAAGGCACAGCAGAAAGACTCCTTAGATGGTATATTCTGCAAGACACGATTCTTTCTGTGTTGTCTTTTCTCCTCGAGAGTGATCCTGCATGCGTTCTCAAAGGAAACAGCAGCGTTATAGATGGTGTGTCTCCAGACCTCCCGATTTGAGGGATGATGTTGATCAATATGGCCAAGGCTGAGATGTCGTTTCAGGGAGTCCTTGTATCTTCTCTTCGGGGCTCCTTTCTTGCGGCAGCCAGTGGCAAGTTCACCATAGAGCAAGATCTTAGAGAGGCGGTGGTCCTTCATTCCTTCATTCCTTCATTCTTGAGGTGTGTCCTGCCCAACGCAGTTGTGTTCTCAGCACCTTAGTAACCAATACCAGTAAATTGATGCAACTCTGAAGTGGACTGAAGTAACATGAGTAAGAGTGATTATACAGATAGAGCTTATTTCTACAAATTTATCAAAACAAACTATGCAGCAGAGATGTCTTTTATATTGAGGTAACCATGTCAGCAGTAGCAGCTGTGGTCATTTAACCATATTTATAAGTTCCTGGTGTTTCACTTCTCTCTTCTTAGAGGAGCTAGATTCCAACCAACCCTGAATATTTTACACAAAACAGTATCTGGCAACAGAAGGAGTCACTCTTAGAATTTTTGCTGCCTCCTTGAAGTTTTCAAGTAACTGCTTAAAATGTTTTGGGGGTCAGCAATTTTTAATATTTACTCCTACAATGTGTGCAAAAAATAACCATTTTGCACACTTAGCAAATTAGTTTTTATGGTTTGAGACTTGAAATAAGGTATTCCATCACTATAAAAATATGTTTCTTTGTGATTCTGATCACAAATACAGCAACAGTTTACTGACAGGGAAAGGAGAGTTATAGTGTCCCCCAACAGTGTACTAAATGGATAAAATTCAGGCAAATTATTGGCATTGGAAGGGTAATGCTAGTCATACATAATCTTCATCCCTTTACTTGTCTCACTGTGCAAAGAAAGTATGTATTTCCCATTGTATGTGATGATACCTTGATCTCATGTTAGCTGATCTCATGCCCCTATGTGTATGTTTTTTAACATAAAACTTCGTAAGCAGAGATTTCTTCTTCCTGCAATACTCTATCCTGTTTACTATGATCCTGGCTAAGGATCTGGTGGGTTGCTTCCAAAATCACACCTGCTAGTGTTGGAAATCTCAGATGTCCAGGACCACTTCTGACACTGTTTAGTGAAGTGATGGACAATTCCTGTCATCCCACAGATATATCCTGCAGCAATTTTATCTCTGATAAGGACCAAAAGAGACGTAATTTAATGAAATCATCCACCTAATTGGTCCTTAGGTTAAAATCACCTTGGTGACCTGTGCTGGATTATGGTAACTTACTGTTGTGATATGCCTCCTGATACTACTTTAATTATGAGCACTCCTTCTCCTGTCTGTCCATGAGTGAAATGAAAATTATGCATAAAACAATGTGTTCTAATTCTTCATTTTCTCAGCCTTGGGGGTTTTTTGTCCCTCATGGTGGCAGTAGGAAAGAGAGGCGCTTGACAGGTCATGTAGGATCTAATACTCAAGAACTGCAGATGTCAAATTATTGCCTGTTTACTTAATTTTGCTTGAATCTCCTCTCTCTGTTGTCTGTAAGGATTTGTGTTCTGTGCTTTGGTTCATGTCTAACTAAACCAGAAATGTGTGCCACAGATACGGTTTGTTGCTCAGACAACAGGACCAGAGTTTGCATGGATGAAATTGCTCAGTTAATAACTTAGATTCTTTTTTTAAAGAGTAGGCTTTGTTAAAATCAGACTTCCTTTCATTAGAAAAATAAATCAGTGAAAGGGAGAGCTTAGTCATTTGAGCCTCAGCTCAAGGCATTGGCACATCTGAGGGTTGTCCCCGTCAACCAGTTAAATGACCCAGGAGATGTTTCAGCCTTGACCCACTTCTGGAGTGAGCCTGTAAATCAGGGGCATGAAATCCTTTAGTGTCTGACGAGGCTTTAACAAGGTTATCTGCACGTTGCTGAGGAGGCATTTCTGCAATGTTTACCTGTCAGTCAGGAACTAAATAATTTTTTCAACTATTTTGTATGAGTCTCTTAAATAGATATCAGGTAACATCATTTTCTCATCGTAAGCTCAAAAAAATACAAGCAGACAATTGCTCCCTGTGTTACTGAGCTCACAAATTTGCTCGTTCCCTGTCCTTTGCTCAGGCAGCTAGAATAGGATAGAGATGATTAACTCAATTTTCTTGGTCACCTTAGTTTTCTTTTACAGTCAGTGAAGGAAAAGTTCTCAGATAAGATGAACTGTGCCCTAAATGTGTGCTTTTCTCTCTCTTGTCTCAAAAAGGAGCACAGGGCAAATAGCTTAGGTGTGTGAGTCAGAGGCTGAGTGAGAGGAATCCTCCTGCACGTGTCTGACCATTGTGTGGGTCAGGCATCTAAACCTGTCAATGTGGGCAGTGTGCTCCTGGGGAACTACAGCACACAATCCCTGCCTTAGCCTGCCTGCTCCTATCTCCTATATGGTTGTGGTAGCTGCTGCAGGGTGTCCGCTTATTGCATAGATTTTAACTCCTCTAAATACTTGAAAATATTACGTACACTATATATGTGTTACTTCTGTTATTTGCCATCACAAAATAAATAGCAAGTACCATTAATTTTTTTTAATCCCTTCTTTAATTCACACTCTGCAATTCTCTTTATAAGCGTGATATAGTTAAGTGATACATGTAATGTGCAAGACAGTTCCAGTTCTTTTGATCTCCTCATGAAGATGCTACTCTATGTTACCATTTTCACAGAAAGGAAATCAATATCATAACTTGGTAATATATTATTTTATGTAAATTCCATATAGTACCATTATCCACTGGGAGGCAGAAAACTGGCAGTCAGGAATAGATTTTTCCTCCATCTGATGACTTGTGAGATACTTATGCAAGTTTTGCTGTAATCCCTAGAGTGTTCTGATTCTTGAGGAGGGATAGCATATTTTCAGTGATGGTTTGCAAGCTTATTGTCCTCAGCATGGTGGGCTGATCTGCTCATCACAGTTTATGAAACAGTGTTTCAGAGTGTAGGTGTGATCAATATCTGGTGTAAATTCATACTTTTGAAATCTATAGGCCTGTGTCTGTTTATACCAGAAAGTGGCCAAATACTACTGTCAGTCCAACAACTAATAATGCAAAACTTTTTTGTTTCTCTTAAAAAGTAGTCAAGACAACCACCACCAGAAATGCAGAAAATATGAAGTTAAACCTGAATCAGAGAGGAGAGGGCAGGAACTCAAGTTTTTGAATCTGAGGAAGACAAAAATAACTCTAGTTTGTCCTGTCTGATACAAGATTATCATCTTTGTGTTTAGCACACTGTAAACATTCATTATAGATACTGATTTTATGATACATTTCACATGAATGTGACTAAGCCAGCAAGTATGAGGATTTCTCTTGGTGTTGACCTTTCTAATATTTACATGAAAAAATGGGAGGTAATGATGTGGGACATATGTTGGGAAATGCTTCTGTGTCCCATACTTAGATAATTGGTCATTGCATCTCCTTTTGTTCCCAAACATCTGCTCTTACTACAGATGTTCAGGATGTATCTCCTCTTCTCCACATTGCCATCCTTGCATGTAAAGGCAGTAAAACTGAGGAGAGCAGGCATCTCAGTTCAACTTAACCAAATATGAATTTATCCTCTTCCTTCTCAAAGTAAATGAATTTAGGTTGTCATGATAGTCACTTATTTTCTCTTCCCAAACTCTGTACATAGCAAAATGAAAACAAATCCCCCCTTTCTGTCTGTAGTCAGTGTCTCTGTGTAATGTTTTTATTTGCATACAGCTGACCTGACTCACTTCAGTTTTGCAGTGATCCTTTTATGTTTTGAGGCGTTTTATTTTTTTCTCCTAAGATTTGCTTAATAGCTGCACTAAGATTTTGTCCAGCGAGGCTGTGGAATCTCATCCTTGAAGGTAATACAGACCTGGACTCGTGGTGGCCCAGAGCAGCCTGCTCAAATGGGTCTTGCTCTCAGCAAGTTCAGAGAGGCTGGATCACAGACTGCCTGGAACGTCTTCCAACAGATTTATCTCTGCCAGTTATTTGAGCTCTTATTAAACGTGCTGTAGTTCTAGACTTCACCTTCGTCTTCAGACATTTAAGTCAAGACTAGAATCTCACTACCATAGGCACTATTCAGCACTGCTAACACAAGCATGAAAAGAATTGCCATAATTGCCATAGATTTTAAAATGCTGCTTTCTTTTCAGACCTGAGAAGTCAAAGGAATTAAGATCTCTTTGAAAGTATACAAACTTTCACTGCATTTGCAGGACCTGAGATGTTCCAGTTTTTATCCCCCCAAAAGCCACATACCCAATAATGAGTAAATTACAATAGATTTCTCACTGGGAGTCAATGCTTTATATAAACTCTTAAAATCTGCTGGTTGTGTGAAATGTGTGGCTGATCTTCTGTAGGATGTTAGACTGCATTGTTAAACAGATTTCTTTTTGCCTTCATATTTGCAGCTATGCTACTTTTAAAACTGCTAACAGCTTTTCAGATTTGCTAGCAGTAAGACAAACTGATTTCATTCACTAGAAAAAATTAGCATGTTTATTCATTTGTTTATTTCAAATCTATCAAAAATGGGCATCTCTTTTGTTAGTAATCTGCTGTTACCCAGTTATAGTCTGATCTGAGACAGCTAAATATTCCCAGACTTAATTTATCAGTCTTGAGAAGGTTAATTTTTGATCAAATAGGGAGAAGGGGATAATTTTTAAAGGTGAATTGAAATTACATGGTTGAATTTATAACAATTGCTGCACAATAGCTATAACTGAGTATCTGACAAAACAAAGAAGCGTGCTTTACATAAATAAAGGGAGAACCAAAAAAAAATGACACAATAACAGATGCATTGCAGTGAATAAAAGAAATGTCCTTGTCAAAAGCAAGTAAAATAGTACAGTAGAGTTCAATTTCTCCAAGGGGAGCACGCTGTGCACCTGCCCAAACAAAATGTGTGCCACATCCAGCACATACACTGGCAGAAGAATCAGTTGTTCTGACTGTTCTGACATATTTTTCCTGATAGTCAGTGGTTATTTTTAGGACGAAGGAAGAAAGTCATGCTTTGCGATTAGCTGAGAACAGAGACTTGATGACTGTTAAAGGTTCACCTGGTTGGCGGGTGGTGGCCAGGGTAGTGTAAGGGACCACTGCAGCATCGGATACTGCCCTGTTGGCATCTCAGGAGGAGTTTGACCATGGTTCTTTTGTTCACCAGTTTATTCTGAAAAGTATTTAAGCTAAATAACGTAACAATCACCCTTCTGGTGGAGAGTCAGTGAGAGGAGAGGTCAGGCACCTCGGCAGCAGGCTGCACAACCCGTTGAAGAGAGCAGCTCCAGGGTCAGGGCCAGGACTACTCAGTCCTGCTTCTGGCTGCAGGAGGGAGAGTGAATATGATGTGGTGAATACATTTGTGTTCAGGGAAATGTGTGGGTTTGTCTTCCGTGGGGGCTTTTGAAATTTTTTACCTCTGGGGAAAGCAGTATTGTTTGTTTGCTCAGTATTTTTATTGTAGTGTTCAACTTCACTGAACGGAAATCCATGCTCCCTTGTTAGCTACTGATATTTGCATCTCTTCCTTGTGCTTTGTCTTTTTTTTTCATGCTGCGTTCTCTGTCTTTGAGTGTCTCCTTTTTCTCAGTCTCTTCCTAGTTCTGTGCTAACAACTGTCCTGTCTCCCACTATCCTATTTTTCCCATACGTAATCAGGAATGAAAAAACTGTCAGGATTGGCTACTGATAGGCAAGATATAGTGTTCCTGCTAGATTAGCAGAGAAGGAAAATGCACTCATCTCTGAAGATTTGAAAAAAACGAAGGTAGCCCAATATAGCACATAAGGTTAGGTGGATAGATTCCAAACCTTAATTTATGGTAGATGTCAGATCTGACATAGAAGTGTATGAAACACTTGAAATTTAAGCCACTCTCTGGAAAATTGATAAATTTAAAATACAATAAATTATTAAGGGACAAAAAGTGCTTGAGGACCATCTTTAGGTGTTTATTTCATGTGTGCAGTGTACCACAGGTATCTGTGTATAGACACTAATAATCAGCTTTTCTTTATCACCGGCTTTCTGGTCATGCTCCTGTTTTTCTCAAAGGTGATATTTTACAACCGTTTTCCCCCTCTAGGGTTTCTGATGGCAGTAACTCAGCCTTTTTCCCATAGTCTGAAATGGAAGTCTGCCTGCAACCAGTCTGTATACATGCAGTTACTGTTCCAAATCTCACCTGTGGTTTCATTTTGTTTCTCTTTCCAATCAGAAAATGAAGAGTTTGGCCCAGAGACGCCAGTCTGCACCGTCTTTGATCTTTGTCAAAGCACTTAGCAGATCTAGATCGGCCTCAAGGTGAGTCAGTGAGTTTTGCTTGCTGTACTGTTTTGTACTTTCTCAGCCCCATTCTCAAAACTTGAGATGTTTTTGAGTTATTGTCCACGCCAGGCTGTTGAACACAATTCATGCTGCTTGGTAGCTGCACAACTATAAAGCCTGCTGAAAGATGTGACAGAACTCTCATGGGTTTCCCCAGTGCTGCCACACTAAGCTGTTTGTACCCAACTGGGCAAAGCTGCTCTGCGATTTGCAACTGGGCATGTGACATTTGGGCTGTTCGGTTGTAAATAGTTTGTGACTGGCTGTGAGTGCCTCCTGGGGTGGTGGCATGGGCAGAAGATGTTCCGTGCTTTTTGCCTTGTATGCTTATGCAGTGCCAGGCATAACTCAGGATTGTTTATTGTGGAATTGTGAAATTTAATTTGAGCTAAGTTTCTTCTGTCATTGCCTGCTGAATGGTACAGGCTCTCCAGGGATCTGGAAGCACCTGCTGACTCAGGACAATGCTGTGGACCAGGATCTGGTGATCAAGCCTTCTCCTGTCCAGTATTAGCACTTGTGGGGCTGAGTATGTGGGTGTTAAGCATTCAGCATTTTTTGTCCTTGTCCTCTGCCAGAATCAGCCATTCCTCCTCCCTCCGCCAATGTAAAGCTGCCATAGAAATGGGAATTTCTATGGAGCTAGTCCCCTGTCCAGCCCCAGCCCCTGACCTGCCATTTGAACCACTCTGCATACATAACTTTGTCTTCCTGTACTACAGTTCATTAGACTTTAAACTTACAAAATGTAAGTGTTTATCGAGAAGTGAACCATCTGGCAGGCTGTTAATGCTTCCAGCTGTGTATTGCTCTTTATGAAGAAATGTTATTGAGGGAAATTAGAGTATGGCTTTGTAAGGAATATTTTTTCCTACTCTGTGGTGTGTTAAGTAGTCAGTGTATAAGAAGTCAGAGCTTTGGAAAGTTGTTTGTGTTTGATCTAACTAGTACCTGGTTTGATATCATGTAGAACTCCACAGTATTTCAGAAAACTGTGAAAGTACTCTGTGAAAAAAAAAGAGAGTTGCAAAATAGGAGAGGCAGATTTCATTTGCCTGCTGGGGTTCAGACATTAACATTTTTTTTAGTTCTGATTTTTAATTTGTTTCATTGCCTGCTCCATAAATATCAGAAATTGGAGTTAGCTGGAGAGGCACCGAGTGTGATACACACTCAATATGTATGTTTTCACCTAAGAATTTTACGCTTTCTGAAGTGTAAATATGTCTTGCTTGTATAGCCCAGGTCAGAATTATTTCTGGTTTGTGAAAGGACTTTTTTTTTAAGGCCAGTTGGCGGAAACTTTGTGGTGAAGAGGACTGAAGAGGCGAGCATGTTGCCTTGTTCTGCAGTAAGAGCAATGCTTTGCCTACCTGACCGACCCTGCTGCTTTAATAACTGATGGATGCTGCCTCAATCATTTCTGTCCTCTGTCTGTGGCATGCAACAATTTAGCTGCTGCAGTTGGTTTGAACTGAAGTCTGTGGCCTTTGTGAGAGGTATTGGGTGAAGTCTGAGGACCCTGAAGTCAGAGTGGGTGGTTTTGTAGCTTCAGAGTCTTTTGAGTTAGAGTGTGACACTTTGGATGGTGTTTATTATTGTTCACAGGAGCAGCAATTCTAACCTGTGCCTGAATTCCCTGTTTGGCTGTACAAAGCACATGCCTCTTCATCACTGAACTGATGGATGAGTTTGATCTTTCCACTCAGTTTGTTGTGTAAATGCTTAAACTCTTGTGAAGTGCTTTCTCTGAAGGAGAGCTGAAGAGCAACAAAATGACTTCTCATGTTTTCTAATCTCCTCCAAATGTTTTACCTCAGAGCTGTCTCAGCTCTTAGTTCTCCTTCTTGTAGACACAGCTAGTCTGCAAAATCCATTATTCTTCTCTGGCAGTGAACCTTAATACTGGGACTCCATAACACTTACTTGTTAATGGTTGATTAATGACTTGTAGATAATAAAGCTCCTATCTGAAGTTAACAAGCATCTGTGAGGGATTTATTTGAATGCTCTCACCTCAGCAGCTGGCTCACCTCAATATTTGTTGAAATTAATGAACAAGTGCAAAGTTTAAAAGGGCAGGAAATACTTAGAAGCCAAGTTGGTTTGTATTTTTATACCACTTTATATGTCAGGTGTCCCTGGTTTATATACAGAGCATTTTCATAAAATGCATTGGCATCTGCTTTGGACAGACTTACTTTGGGGCATTTTAAAGTTTATTAATGCTATTTATTCAAAGAAACCATTGTGACATCTGGAGATGTCTATGTAGCATTCAGAGGATTAAGGATTTTTAGTGGTGATGTTGTTGTATCTGTCATAAGGATGTGACCAAGGCAAGATGATCTAGCTGGACATAGCAGATGCTTGTTTTGTGCCATTGTCCTCTTATCAAGTCCTGAAAGAGAAGCAGATCCGAAAGTCTTGTGTGCTTAAAAGCTTGTCTTTATTTTCTCCAGCTATAGCGTTTGGTTTAATGAAAGTTCAGCCTTCCTTACAAATCTTACCTTGGCACATCAGCCATATAAAGATAGATCCAAGATATTTGGCCTGCAGAAGAATTATGGGATGGCTGTGTGGCACGTTGATGCACGGATATCCAATCATGCTGTAATCCCTGCCTCACTTGACTTGTACCTGCGGGCAGCAGAGGAACATAGTAAATAGTACAGCTGTTATAGTGGAATTTGGGCCCTTACACCCAAGAGGTGAAAATATGGAGACTATTCCATTGCTTCCTGTTCTTGTTTCTCTTCCTTTTTTTCTGCACAGCTTCTTTTTCATCACAAAATTGTGATGAATAGGCATTTAAGGACTGTTCCACATCATCAGATGTCCTCTTTGGAAGCACTTTGAGCAAAGTTATAGTAGAAATACACTGGAAAAGTAAGTTTTTGGTATTTTTCTCAGATACAGGAAAAGTTAATTTGATTGTTTACTCCATTAATGTGTATGAAATCAGCAAAAGATTTGGGTTAGTTATATTTGGCCCTGGACCTGTTCTGCAGTTGTAATTTTCCTCTTAGTGTTTCTTGGTGTCCTTTAATGAAACCTGCACAACTTAATGATATAGTTCAGTGCAACACAAATGACAGGCTTGAAACAGAAATGTCTGAGGCCTGAATTTAAAGCATCAGGTATTGTCGTCTCATAGTAGTTAATACAGAATAATGAAGATTTGTTTCAAGTCAGATTTTCAGCCTTTGTTCTGCTGTCCCTCAAAACAATTTTCACTTTTGACAAAACCCAAGTTTTTGGTCTGTGTAGTCAGACTTCTGCTTCCATCTCAGATATTTCACTGGGACAGCCAAACTATATGCTGCAGTCACTGGCAGCTTCCCCTATTCTATTGCACACCTGACCAGATCACTGAAAGTGATATTTTTACATGCTGAAATTTATTAATATAATTTCACAATTTATGAGTCTGCATGACCATTTAGAGATCTGTGTCTTTACACAGTAAAGGTGTTAAAATACTAAAAATGAAACAACTCTTCTTTTACACCATGAAGCATATTTATGATGTTATTTTGGTGTAAACTGGAAGCAGAGGCTGTTCAAAAAAACACTGAAGTATATTTTTTAAAAGGTTTTCTGAACAAATTTCTAAAGAACCCCAAAAGGAAGGTCCTAAAATGTCATCTCTACCCAATTTTATTATGTGGCTTTTATGGTTGAAAAAGTGGAAGGTAAAAACTGAGGATTTCACAAGTTTCCAAGGTGTTTTCTCCCCTTTGCTATGTAGAAGTAGTGTTATGCCATTCACAGAGAGGCTGCTTTTCCTTCTCCCAGTGCACAGTAAGTGATTCTGGCATGTTATCTTCCAGGGGTCCTGTGCCAAAGGCTAAATATCCTAGATAACGAAGATCATATGTATAATCTAGTAATACATTCCACTTGGCGCTAGTCAAATACAGAGTGTTCCCAGAGTCTTGGACATTGTGTTTTCAGGGTTTTAATCAGAAGACATGTGGATGATCCAAGCTATGTGACTAGAAGAAGACAAAAATAGAGACTTTTAATAAATGTAAATCGCCAGAGGGCTTTTTTATAGGGAAGATGAGTATTTGGTGTTTCAGGCAAAACTGATTGCAGGGAGGAAAGGAATAAAAGCTCATTGCAAGCAACTAGCTTGTTAAATAGATATTTCGGTTGCGATAATTTTGCTCATTCTTCAGTCACGTCCATGATAGTGAATAATTTTGCCTCACAGTGTGATTTCCTGAGGTGTGTTTGTTTGGTGAAGCTCAGCACCGGTGCACTATGGCATGGAGGGGTGGAGAAGGAGCACCTGCCCCTGTGCCTCACGCCGCAGCCGTTTTTACCGGCTGATACAGGACAAGGCCTTCATGAGGAAGAGGCTCCCCGCCCCGTTCCCTTGTCTGTCAATGCTGAGGTGGGTGTTGCTCTCATACAGCTCCACAGGCACCATGACAGAGTTTGTCAGAGTGAGATCAGAATCAGCGTGAATGGCACCCCCTGGGCTGGGGCCGCCCCTCTGCCAGGGTCACCACCCGTCAGGCAGAGGAGCGGCACCTTTGACCAGGGCCGCCTCAGCCGGGCCAGTCGATGGTGCCACTGCTGGTGGCTCATAGGGCATGGCTTAGGGTCACCCTGCTGCAGGGCACAGCCCTGGGATGGTGTGAGACAGGTGACACCTCGTGGCTGATTTTGAGGGGCTCTGAGGGGCAAAGGCTGTCATGCTCTGTGTGTGTGCCAGTTTCCATGTGTATCAGTCTCTGTGTGTGCCATACAGGTGTGATCAGTTGGGGTTTGCCTCCGGAGCAGCCAGCAGCAGGAAGGCATGGGCTCAGAACCAAGAGTGGGAGTTAGCATGGAGAGGTACTATCCCAGCCTGCTCCCATTCCAAATGCTGATGCCACAGTTTGGGTGGGAGGGGGTTCCCTTGAAGCTGCAGAAGAGCAGGGAGGGGAGAAGCCAATGGGGCAAACGTTCACTTTACGCTGGTG